CAGGATTAGTTTGGCACTGGCTGCAGCACTGCATAAACCAGCCATGTGAATCTCAAGGACAGGATATTTAAAAACAAGTAAGAAAAACTAGAACACAAAGTTCATGAACAAGTTCCTTGTTCAGAAGCAAGGAAATATAAGCTAACCTATGAGACTGACTTAATCATGCACTGGGTAAATTTACATTCAGTAAAGTTATTTTGCATGCTTTGGTTAATGTCTGAGTAGGCAAATTTGCAAGTGCTAATGCATGCTTTATTTTGGTACGTGAGGTTATATGTTTCACTTTTTAAAAACTGCCTTTTTACGAACCTTATGCCAGAGTTCATCTACAAACCCTCTTAAAAATATATATAGAATCTGTCTACTTCTTAGTTCAAAACAGTTTAATTTCAACGAGTTCTATAAATACTGAAATGATAAGGAAATGGTGCAGTAAAATCTGGCGAGGGAATACATTTGAAATTATTCTACAAAGTTGAAATCATGCATTGCATGTGTAATAATTTCTAAAACAGAAGGCCTCAAGAAGATGGCACACAAATTAAGCCTTCAGAATACCCTGTTACTAGAATGCTTCTAGAAGCATTTCAAGAAATAACAACCACAACAACAACTAACTAACTTATTACAGTGCAGTTGATTCAGGGACAAATGAGGAGGGGACACAAAACAACCATCTTGCTTTTTCTCTGTATTCCCAAGGAGCTCACAGACAAAGTTTATGGTACAGAGTTTGGGAGCTCCTGTTATAAGTAGGACTAGCTACAGTTGTATTCAAGTCTTGCTTGTATAGCACAAATATACTAGAAAGATTTATATAATATTAATGTCTAGACATGGTGCTAAGATTTAACATAATAGTTCCTTCAAAGAAAAGAATGAGGCAGGTGGCAGAAACCTCTGAAAGTGAGTGGGTACTGGACATTCCAACCCAGTTAAGTATCACAAATTTGCCATTCTAGTTGAAGCACAGATCAACTGAGAAAGCACAGCTCATAGTTTTCTACTAACATTTCCTGGTGGATAAGATCTGCCTTTCTTTCAGTGAGTCATCGGGAGTGATCTTGGGAGAAAGTAAAGGGAATAATGACTCAATATGAGTGGCCCAGTAAGTGGATGCCTTATTTATTTCTCCTTTTGCCTAACCCTCCTCCACCTCATTGTGAAGGTACAGGAGCACATGGAAATAGCTCACTGTATAGACACAGTTATATTTTGAGATTCAGCAGTGATCACTGGCCTTCTCTGCATTTTCATCCCATTGACTAGTGAAATTGGTCCTCAAAAGTCACGTTTATGAAATTGAGTGGTCATTCTAGTAAAGTGTTACCATCCTCTAAGAGATCTTAGGCTATTTATTACTCAGTAACACAAGAAAAAGATACTCAACGCCTTCCCAGAATGCTCCAGAAGCTAACCCAAAACACCCTACCCACCCTTTCAAATGGAAAGAGTAATTTAAATGACAATTTCACACCATGAAGATAAGATGCCTGCCTTAAAAAATGTGTCACAGTTAAAAAAAAAAATGTATACAATAAAGACTGTTCTAAAATCTTGCTACTTTATTTTTGGTGGTGCCCTGATTTCTATAAACTTTCATGTGCTTTCTAGTAACTGTTTTTATTAAATTTTGTTAAAAAGTCTCATTGTATAAATGAATTTATTTACAAAACAGAAACAGACCCAGAGTTTGAGAACAAACTTATGGTTACCAACAGGGAAACGTGGCAGGAGAAATAAATTAGGAGCTTGGGATTAAAATACACACACTACTATATATAAAATAGATACCCAACAAGGACCTACTGTATAGCACAGGGAGCTCTACTCAATGTTCTGTAATAAGCTATATGAGAAAAGAATCTGAAAAAGAATGAATATATGTATAACTGAATCACTATGCTGTACACCTGAAACTAACACAACATTGTAAATCAGCTATACTCCAATAAAATTAATAAAAATAAAATTCAAAAAAGTATTATTGAAGGAAAGGTATCCCATGCTCTTGGATTAGAAGAATATTGTTAAAATTGCCATACTACCCAAAGCAATCTACAAATTTAATGTGATCCCTATGTAATTACCCATGATATTTTTCACAGAACTAGAACAAATAATCCTAAAATATATATGGAACTGTAAAAGACCCAGAGTTGCCAAAGCAATACTGAGGAAAAAGAACAAAGCAGGAGTCATAACCCCCCCAGACTTCAGACAATATTACAAAGCTACAGTAATCAAAACATCATGGTATTGGCACAAAAACAGACATAGGGATCAATGGAACAGAATAGAGAGCCCAGAAATAAACCCACACACCTACGGTCAATTAATCTTTGACAAAGGAGGCAAGAATATAAAATGGAAAAAAGACAGTCTCTTCAACCAGTGGTACTGGGAAAGTTGGACAGCCACAGGTAAATCAATGAAGTTAGAACACACCTCACCATGCACAAAAATAAACTCAAAATGGCTTATAGACAAATATAATATGTGACACCATAAAACTCCTAGAAGAGAACATAGGCAATACATTCTCTAACATAAATCGTACCAATGTTTTCTTAGGTCCGTCTCCCAAAGCAATAGAAATAAAAACAAAAATAAACAAATAGGACCTAATCAAACTTACAAGTTGTTGCATAGCAAAGGAAATCATAAGCAAAGCAAAAAGACAACCTACAGACTAGGAGAAAATATTTCCAAGTGATGTGACCAACAAGGTCTTAATTTCCAAAATGTACAAACAGATCATACTACTCAACAACAAAAGAAACAACCCAATCGAACAGTGGGCAGAAGACCTAAATAGACATTTCTCCAAAGAAGACGTCCAGATGACCAACAGGCACATGAAAAGATGCTCAACATCACTAATTATTAGAGAGATGCAAATCAAAACTATAATGAGGTACCACTTCACACTGGTCAGAATGGCCATCACTGAAAAATCTACAAATAACAAATGCTGGAGAGGATGTGGAGAAAAGGGAACCCTCTTGCACTGCTGGTGGGAATGGAAGTTGGTGCAGCCACTATGGAGAACAGTATGGAGGTTCCTCAAAAAACTAAAAACAGTTACCATATGATCCAGCAATCCCACTCCTGGGCATATATCTGAACAAAAGTATAATTCAAAAAGATATATGCACCCCTATGTTCATAGCAGCACTATTCACAATAGCCAAGACATGGAAACAACCTAAATGTCCATATAAAGATGATGTGTTACATGTATACAGTGGAATACTACTCAGCCATAAAAAAGAACGAAATAATGCCATTTGCAGCAACATGGATGGACACAGAAATTATCATACAAAGTGAAGTAAATCAGAGAAAGACAAATACCATATGATATCAGTTATATGTGTAATCTAAAACATGACACAAGGGGAGGAAGGGATAGTTAGGGAGTTTGGGATTGACAGGTACACACTGCTGTATTTAAAATGGATAACCAGCAAGGGCCTACTGTATAGCATAGGGAACTCTGTTCAATATTATGTAACAACCTAAATGGGAAAAGAATTTGAAAAAAAGATACATGTGCTTGTATAACTGAATCACTTGCTGTACACTGATACTATCACAATATTGTTAATCAACTATACTCCAATATAAAATAAAAACTTAAAAAAAAAAACGGGAAAAAAGATACAAATCAAAAGAGAAACAGACTCACAGACAGAGATCAGACTTGTGGTTGCAAAGCGAGGTGGTGGGGGAGGGATGAATTAGGAGTTTGGGGTTAGCAGATGCAAACTATTATATGTAGAATGGATAAACAACAAGGTCCTACTGTATAGCACAGGGAACTATATTCAATACCCTGTGATAAACGATAATGGCAAAGGATATAAAGAATGTATACATATGTATAACAATCACTTTGCTGTACAGGAGAAACAGATCATTGTAAATCAACTATACGTCAATTAAAAAAAAAAAGTATTGAAAAACTCCTTGGGCAACAATTCTGCACTTCTTGACAGGTTAACAGCCTATGAAAATCTTGGTTCTGACTTACACAGGTGTCTTGCAGAAAATCTTACCGAATGCTCTGCACATTATCAAATTGTGACGGGAATGGAAGGTTGTCTCCTCTAATGCAACTCTTTGGAGCTTGAAGTTACTTTGTATTCCAAAAGCAAAATAAAACTTGGGCAGCAAAATTTGCCACCACTTAGCAACAATCAAATCAAAACATCCCACATTTACCCTACTCTCAGTCTTTAAATTGTTACTGATCTCATGTAGGTAGTGCCAGCAAGGCTAAGAAAACAGCCTATCGTTATTGCAAAATTCAGTGACTGCTGAAAGTATAGAATGACATCATAAATAGAACACGTGTGAAGTTTGCTCCTAATGGACTATGATGGATGCACGTCAGCTGGCCAGCCAGTGAATTCACAGGGATTGGGAGGAAGAACATGCACAGAATGGATGCTATTCTATTGGGGATATTCAAGCAGGCAGCTGTCATGGGTTGGAGACTGGGCCCCAAGAGTCCTTCCCCAGACTGAGTTTCTAAGATGCTAGAATTCTAAAGGATACCATTTATTCTTTAGAAAATATTGTTGAGCTTTATCTTGCTTCTCAGAATTCAGTGAAGGAGGCCAAGCCTGGGTTGTGACTCCTGCCCAACAGTGAATGCCTTAATGCCCTGCCTCCTGCTGGCCAGCTGGAGGCATCACCTAGCCCAGGTGGGCTTTGACATGAAGATAAATGCCTGGCACCACCATAGTGCCCTCAACTCTTTGTCTTTATGAACTAGAATAGGTTATGATGTATGGAAGCCTCAAGTACTTGTGGTTTCATGTGTCCCTGGGACCCCTTCCTACCCCGAGACTTCCAACATAACGGAAGAGAGGATTTCTGCCTGTACCTGGAGTTCGATGTCTCAGCATGTATATACATTTCCTCTCCCCTCTCCCAGTAGAAGCTAACTCCCCAGTCAATTATACTCTTGACCCAAATGCTGTTTTGCAGGGTAACTATAATGACGAATGGAACCAGCTATTACTAACCAAAGAATATGAAGAAAAAGTTGGGATCAGATTGCTTTGGGGAAGGTTCTGGAAGAAGGAAGGAGACACAATAAAGAAGAATGGGACAACTTCCCAGGATAAATTACTAGAACTGGACCATCAGTGAAGTTATATTTTGGTTACCATTTTGCAAACAATTTTTCTAATTCTTTAAAAAATGGTGTCTTTCCAACTAATCACCAAACTCTCCACAGGCACAAAACGCTCTGAAGAACTGAGTGGACTATAACCAATTAAACATCACCGCCAGCAGAAAATTCCCGATGCTTGACAAATGTTCAAAGTGAAAGCCAGGCATGCATCTTTCATATTAAACCACCGACATTCAGTGAGGTTCAGCTAGAAAATATTGATCTTCTATCACTTAGAATGCAAAAGGGTGAGCAGTGCAGATTATTATGGAACTAAGAAAATACATAATTTTAAGGAAAAGATGTATTTATCACTCAAATACTATTTAAAATGTTAACAATTTAAAAGGAATATTAACTGTGCAGAGCAGTTAGAAAGCAAGGAAAATACGACATTTAAGCAAGTTAATGTTAACTCAGTAGAAATCACAATATCATCAAACTTTCTTCCTGCACAGAATTTGTGAAGAGATACTACCTTATCTCTTGCTTAAGTTCAGACAGTCCCAGAAAAGCATGTGAATAAGATGTGTTTGACATACTACACCGTATGTCATACCTGCTTTAAGAAAAACGTTCCTTCAAAACCCTACGCTATGAAAAACTATTTTCAGGAATTGTTATTTGGTCCGTTGATCAAACAAGGCTGAGTTCTCTAATCTTTTACCTCCAGGTTAAAAATTGGAGCAACGAAACATAACTCCAGCAAGGCAAAAATATTAAAGTGCATATATACAATCCCAGAAAAGTTTTGATTGGGAAGAGCAAAAATTTCTAGTGCAAAAACTGCTTTTGCCAGCAAAGCTCCCTCTCTGGAATCAAAGGGCAACAATAAAAGTTAAAATTGGAACAGGTTTAAGCAATGCCTCTCTTCAGTCAAGAGTTAATATATGTGCATGCACCTTGGCCCAAACTATGTTCAATCTGGTAAAAGGGGGAATTTCAGGGGACAGTTCAGAAACACAATTCCCTGATCCAAGGCAGTGCTTTCTCCAGGTGTCCCATGAGCAAGTTCCTTAGATGTGTCATCAGCTGCAAGTGGGGACAAAACCCCAAAGAACAAACTTGCAATATGCTTGCAGCTTGTGAAGAGTATTCACACAGTTACTTAATCTTGGTTTGTGTCTATCAATTCTTCTGAGCCCGACCTTGACTATATAATGTTTTGTGCTTTTGGATCTGAACAGAGACTGGGCATTGTCTGTAGGAATTCCACTGGGTTATATCACCATAGCCTTTTGAACATCCTTTTTATCCTTTTTGGAATTCATAATGAAATAGTTTTGCATTTCTCAGTACAATTACACAGATCAGGGATTCTTTTTATTTTTTTCTTTTCCATCAAGGATCCAAGTTGAAAGCTCTCAGGAGGACATCCAGGTCACCGAGATTAGCTGCCTGGAAGAGTTCCGGTTGGTCCATCAGAGAGAGGGCAATTCTGAGGGCAGCCCAGATATTCCCAGAGATTGCAGGATGAGGAACTTGCTGTTGATTCCTGCTCTTTCTTTGCAAACTGAGGGCAGTGAGAAAATTGCTGACCGCTTCTCTAAGAGGGTAGAAAAACAGGCATTTAAAAATGCAACAGATTTCAGAGTTAGCAAACTTAGAAATAAGTGAATTAAGTTATCTTAGTCTAAAAATCCTAAATCACCTCTCTGGTGTTTTGGATCATCAGGTGAACAACTTTCTGATTCTCTCATTATTCCTCTGTGAAAAGTCATTGTTAAATACAGTGAAGTCAGAAAGAAAAAAGGAGAGCAAACTTTATTTTAGGTATGTCATGTGGGACAGGAAGAATAATAGCAAAACCATTGCTAACTCATTAATGCACTTGATTTTCCCCTACTCCAGGAATGATTTGAAGACTTAATACATCTGCAGATGTGATTTATATAACGAGAGGAGGCATCTGGCCTTACTCAGAAACAAAGTAGCTTAACTTTTCTCATTAGTTTAAGTTTTCTCAAAGTAGGAGGCAGCCGGGCTGAGTTGAGTTTGTTATCAAAGCAGCTGGACTTGGATCCCAGTTGTTTAGCCTTAGGCATATGTCTTCTCCAAGCCTCAGTTTCCCCAGCTGTATTACAGGGAGAATAAAAGTCATTTTAAAGCCTTGCTGTGAGGTGCAGCTGAATCATTTATGTGAAAGCTCCTATCATTAAGTTAGGTCAGTAGTTCTTCACGTGGTCTGGGGAACTCTGGGGATCAGTGAGGTCAAAATTATCTTTATAATAATACTGAGATGTCATTTTACCATTTCACTCTCATTTTCTCATGAATATACAATGGAATTTTCCAGTGACTATATGATGTGTGATATCCCAATAGACTGAATGCAGAAGCAGAGGTGAGAATGTGTCTTCTATAAGCAAGATATTAAAGAAATTTGTAAAAATGATAAAAGAGTCACTCTTTTCACTAAACTGTTCTGGAGAATAATTTTTTTAATAAAATATATAATTCATGTTAACATGTAATTAGTTTATTATTATTTTAAAATGAATCTCAAACTTTTCTGTTTCTAATATGGTAAATATTGATAGGTATAACCCACATAAACAAAAGCCCCTCGAGGTTCTCAATAATTGTTAAAAGTGGAAAGGGGTCCCAAGAATACAAAGTTTGTGACCCACTGAGTCAGATGCTGTCCAAAGGCCTAGCTCCCGTGGTCCATTACTGTGCTCTGTTGCTTGCGTGCCCGGTGTACCTGCCGGGACTGCCCTCTTCAGCTTTCACGTCACCTAGGAACTGTAATATGTATCTGACAAACTTGTCTTTGCTAAGAATGACGCCTCTTTCACTTGTATCTTCTTCACTCTTCTTAAAAGCTTTTCATATACTTGATCTCATTTAATCCTACGAGGTAGTCACTGTTAAGCATCTGGTAAAAAACCATAAAGAAAGCGAGGCTGGATTTCTGATTCCAATGCACACGATCCAGGCATTTGCTCATCTATATTGTTAGATCTGCCCAGAAGTAAAGGGCAATTGGGGAATGGTTGAGCTGTAGGTAGCAACCTGGGTAATGGAAGGCAGTGTTCTCATCAACCCTCTTCTGGGTTTCTTGTAATCAAGGAAGAGAAGAGGATTTATAGCAGATGCATACGCAGAGTTTACTCTGGAGGCCCTTTCTGGCTTCCTGGGCACAGGAAGGCAGCTCGAATGACAGTGACTCCAATCCCTCTCATCATCCTAGGCCTGTAAGAACTCTGGGGAAGGAAGATGCTGGAATGCCCTCCTGCATGCCCTCCCGCACAGGCTGCTTCTGCCCTGATGTGTGGCACTGGTCTCCGAGGGCCGTGGAGAGTAACAGAGTAGTCGAACCTGTTAGCCTCGTCAAGCAACTCCAGGTTTTCTCACGAAGACAGTCTAAACCTTTTCCCCAACTTGAGAACTCAGAGGCCTTTGAGGGGACTCAGAAGACTGTACGTGTGCAAGTGGGAAGAGTTTTCAAATGTTACACACATATATGTGTGAATAAGTTTAAATTGTTTTAAATGTTATGTCACGATTAATAAAAAGCACATTCATTTAAAAGTATTCTTCATTTTATAGTAGCTCTCCCTCATTATACTAATACTAAAAACATTACATATCAAATGGGATGAGATTTATGTTTTTAATTAAAAAGGGGTCCTCACTTTTGAAAAGGTTAAGATTTTTTTGTCTAAGTTCTACTTTGAAGTTCCTACTGACAAAAGGGTAGCATTTTAAGCTCCACCCAGGTCTCATGCCAATTTCCTCTCCTTATTTCAATTGTGTACAGTAGGAGGAGAGGGCTCGCCTGTGACTCTGTCTAGAACGTGTGAGATGACAAATAGCGCATGTTATAGCTACATACAGACACCTGCGGTTCTTGAGGGAGAAGCCCCAAGACTGGTGGATACCAACTCCTGGCTTTCTTCTGGGCCACATCTCTATTGAGGGTTGTTATTTCCTAAGCACCCACTTATACCACAAGTGAAACTTATTTTCAGAATGCATTTAAGGCTTATGTCTCTCTTGATGGCCTTTTTTCTCAGGAAAAAAATGCAAGATGTTTATTACTTCACAAAATTTCCCATATTCTCCATGACAATAAAAGACCCACACATTTTAGCCAAAACACTTTGCTGTTCCAAAGTATCTGTTTGATTCAAGTGGACAGACTTAGCAAACAAGAATACAGGATGCACAGTTACATTTGAATTTCAGATAAACAATGAATAATTTTCAGTATAAGTATATCCCATGCAATATTTGGGAAATACTTATCTTAAAAACATATTTGGTATTTATCTGAAATTCAAATTTATCTGGGCATTCTGCATTTTATCTGGCAACCCTAAAATTGACTTGCTCTTATACAGGAGACTTTCTGCTTGAGATAAAAAATTCACACCTCAACAAAGTCTGTCCATTTCTACCTATTATGGATTTTCATGGCCTCCTGCAAATAGTTGCCCTACTGAGTCTTACATCTGTGAATGTCAAGAAAATATTTTATTGGCCCCTCAAGTATTTTTTTCTACACTAAGGAGTTACAATTAAAACTCATCCTAAAGCTTTAGAAAATTTACATGCTAAAGGAGGACTTTCTAAAGCTTAGTGTGTAAACCAATGAAGTTAGAACACTCACTCCCTCATACCATACACAAAAATAAACTCAAAATGGCTTAAGGACTTAAATATAAGATATGACACCATAAAACTCCTAGAAGAGAACATAGGCAAAACATTCTCTGACATAAATTGTACCAATGTTTTCTTAGGTCAGTCTCCCAAGGCAAAAGAAATAAAAGCAAAAATAAACAAATGGGACCTAATCAAACATAAGCTTTTGTACAGCAAAGGAACCATCAACAAAACGAAAAGACAACCTACGGAATGGGAGGAAATGTTTGCAAATGATGCACCCGACAAGGGATTAATCTTCAAAATATACAAACAGCTCATACAGCTCAATAGCAAAAAACCATATAACCTAATCAAAAAATGGGCAGAAAACCTAGACAGACATTTCTCCAAAGACGACATACAGATGGCCAACAGGCACATGACAAGATGCTCAACATCGCTAATTATTAGAGAAATGCAAATCAAAACTATAATCACACCGGTCAGAATGGCCATCATCAAAAAGTCTACAAATAATAGGGACTTCTCTGGTGGCACAGTGGTTAAGAATCTGCCTGCCAGTGCAGGGGACATGGGTTCGAGCCCTGGTCTGGGAAGATCCCACATGCAGCGGAGCAACTAAGCCCATTGTGCCACAACTACTGAGCCTGTGCTCTAGAGCCCGTGAGCCACAACTACTGAGCCCACATGCCACAACTACTGAAGCCCATGCGCCTAGAGCCCATGCTTCTCAACAGGAGAAGCCACTGCAATGAGAAGCCCGCGTACCACAACGAAGTAGCCCCCACTCACCGCAACTAGAGAAAGCCTGCGGGCAGCAACGAAGACCCAATGACCCAACACAGCCAAAAATAAATAAATAAATAAATAAATTTATTAAAAGAAAAGGTCTACAAATACAAATGCTGGAGAGGGTGTGGAGAAAAGTGAGTCCTTGTACACTGTTGGTGGGAATGTAAACTGCTGCAGCGACTATGGAAAACAGTATGGAGTTTCCTTAAAAAACTAAAAATAGAGCTACTGTATGATCCAGCAATCCCACTCTTGGGCATATATCTGGAAAAGATGAAAACTCTAATTTGAAAAGATACATGCATCCCATTGTTCATAGCAGCACTATTTACAATAGCCAAGACATGGAACCAACCTAAATGTCCATTGACAGACCAATGGATAAAGAAGATGTGGTGTGGTATGCATACACACACACATGCACACACACAATGGAATACTACTCAGCCATAAAAAAATAAAAAAGAATGAAATAGTGCCATTTGCAGCAACATGGATTGACCTAGAGATTATCATACTAAGGCAAGTCAGTCAGTCAGAGAAAGACAAATATATGATATCACTTATTTATGGAATCTAAAAAAATGATACAAATGAACTTACTTACCAAACAGAAACTGACTCACAAGACACAGAAAACAAACTTATGGCTACCAAAGGGGAAACGTGGGGGAGAGATAAATTAGGAGTTTGGGATTAACAGATACACACTCTATATATAAAATAGATAAAACAACAAGGATTTACTGTACAGCACAGGGAACTATATTTAATATCTTGTAATAAACTATAATGGAAAAGAATCTGAAAAAACATATATCTGAATTACTTTGCTGTACACTAGAAACTAACACAACATTGTAAATCAACTATACTTTGATTTTGTTTTAAAAAGGCCTCCTTTAGTGAACTCAATATGTCTATGTGTACATATGTATTTATTTACATTTCTCCTTGCTCCCAAAGAAGGGCCTAAGGTGTCATAAAGTACATAAGAACCAACCTAGTCAGTGAATAAAGGTAGTAAAGATAAAATCAGGTTAGGGAAATCAGACAGAGCCAGGAATGAAGCTAGTATATGGAATGGACAGCACAGATTTGACTCCGGCCCTTTGTGGAGCTGCAGTAAAGAGGGCCTCTGCAGTGGCACGTTTCACAACATCCACAAAATAAAACAAACCGGCTGCTCAGGAATCACTCAGCTATTTTTGGTTTTGACCTAAGATCCTCATAGAAGACAGAGTGTAATCCAGTGACTAATGTTCTTTCTAAGATCCTTTGAGTATAAATGCAGCAACTAGTTTCTAAAGCTTCAATATTTGCCAGTGGCACAATGCTCTAACACAGTTCAGAGACAGCAATTCTTCAGATGTCAAAAGATTGCAATCCAGTTATGCAGCTCTCTCATGACTTATCTAAATAATAATAATAATCATGATGATGATGGCAATGGTAACACTCATAATAATAGTGCCTACTAGGTATTGAGCATCTGCTCTGTGCTAGGCAATTACATTTAACCTGCACAATAATCCTGCAAGGGGGATTCCCTGGTGGCAGAGTGGTTAAGAATCCACCTGCCAATGCAGGGGACACGGGTTTGAGCCCTGGTCCGGGAAGATCCCACATGCTGCGGAGCAACTAAGCCCGTGTGCCACAACTACTGAGCTTGCGCTCTAAAGCCTTCAAGCCACAGCTACTGAAGCCCACGTGCCTAGAGCCCGTGCTCCGCAACAAGAGAAGCCCGCACACCGCAACAAAGAGTAGCCCCCGCTCGCGGCAACTAGAGAAAGCCCATGCACATCAATGAAGACCCAGTGCAGCCAAAAATAAATAGATAAATAAGTTTACTAAAAAAAAAAAAAAAAAATCCTGCAAGATAGATACTATTACCTCTTTGTTTTTATGCAAGTGAAGAAATTGAGGCTCAAAGTTATATGCCCAGAGTTATAAAACCAGTAAATGGCAGAGCTATGATTTGAACCCAAGTCTGTCGGATCCTAAGAGCCGGCTCTTTCTGAGAATGAGAAAGGGTTTACATTTTCTGTGGAGTTTAAAACTAACATTAATTTCTCTTTTTTTTTTTCCAATTATGAAAGTAATACCTGGTTTAGAAAATAGAAAAAAATAGGAAAAGAAAGAAGAAAAAAATCACCCAAACTTTTGGTCATTTATGGTCCGTGTTGATGGGGAACAGACAGAGGATATAGACCTGAATGATAATGAGGAGGTCAAGAGAGGAGGAGAAAGACATTTCAAACTCTAAACCCACCATTTAAAAATCTGTTCCTTTTCCTTTTAATAACTAACTTCACTGGTAAATTAGATTTAGAACAGCGGTCCCCAACCTTTTTGGCACCAGGGACCAGCTTTGTAGAAGACAATTTTTCCACAGCCGGGGGTGGGGAGATGGCGGTGACGTGGGTGACGGGGGCAGATGAAGCTTTGCTCTCGCTCACCCACCACGCACCTCCTGCTGTGTGGCCCGGTTCCTTACAGGCTGCGGACCCATACTGGTCTGTGGCCTGGGGGTTGGGGACCCCTGGTTTAGAAAACCTGAATTCTTGGTTGTGCTTTGCCAAAAACTGGCCTTGAGACCCTCTTGAGTCATTCTGCTGGGTTCCCTTGTTCCCACCCTGCCATGGTTCTTTTTTTCCTTACCTGGGAAATGAAGGGTTGAACTGCTCATGTTTCTCAAAGAGTTGCCCTTGGGGGTGTTAAAAACGCAGATGACTTATCCTAAGCCCCAATCAATCAAAATCTCTGGGAGAAGGGCCTGGGAATGTACATTTCACAAGATGCCCCAATGACTGCTGATCTCTAAAGATTTAAGCAACATGGAGGCAGGCAATTCCTGTTTCAACATCCCTCAGGATCTGAAGGTTTGAAATTTACTCTTAACAAGAGGAGATTACAAAAGGAGGTATTTTTACTGGGAAACAACCTTTCAGATCATTTAACCTCAGCCCTGAGCGTGGCTCTTGGTTGTTAGCCTGCTGCCATACTTCACCTGTAGGCGCCCAGGTTGATGCAGCTTATCCCCAGGTTGTATCTGGACCGGATGAAGCCTGGCTGAATCTCCAGTGCTCGTGTGTAGGCCTCCACGGCTTCCTCGCTGCGGTCTCCGTTTGCCAAGGTCGCCCCGAGGCGGTTCCATAATGAATAGTCCTGATGACAAAATTAGAGCTCTCTAACAACCCATAGAAGCCACAATGACAGAGTATCCCCCTGTTCCCTGCTGAAAGATGATAGCTAAAACTGTATCCAATGCTCATGGACAAGGACCATGACAGGTGAATTACTCAAAAATCTTTATGGACAACCCTCTGAAATGACTTTCATCCATCAAAGAGCAGCTACTATTTGATGCTGTCAGGCAAATCATGTTTCTATTTTAGGTATCTAAGTATTAACAGCCACGGTAACATATCAGTACTGATCACTTTAAACCATTGGATGCAGGGAAATAAAGTGGAGCAGAAATGCACAAAATGTAGTCTGTGAAAACTTATTTTTAAGAGAGAATCTTATGGTTTCTTGCTGTGCACTTACCTCTGGCCGAACAGTTAAGGCAGCATTAAATGCATCTATTGCTCTATTAAATTCTCCCCTCAGGTGGAACAGTACCCCCAGGCCTGTCTGTAGGTCTGGGTCGATCATATCTCCATTTTGGTGGGCAGCTTCTAGATATAATTCCTTCACTCCTTCCAGAACACAGCTACAAGGGAAACAAGTTAGATTTGTAATCCAAATAGTCTGAACATAAGTGACTTACTAGTATGTTTGCTGTTTCAGGAGAACAGACTGGAAAAATCTTGCTTAAAATATCTTAGCTTAATGAGAGGACTATTAATATTGTAGGTTAAAAAATACCTGCTGATTTTCACGAAATATGTTGTTGTACACAGATAAGACTGTGCTAAGTAAGGTCTTGATGGGGAGAGTTCCATGGACCCTACGATGCCAATGTAGAAAACCCCAGGGCTAAGTTTACCAAGGCTTGAGTGAGAATTTAACATCATGATTTATTGCTGATAGAAACAAAATTCCCAGAAGAAAGGACTTTCCTTTTCCCCCACACCTAATTGTCAGGCTTTATAAAACTTGGCACATTGGTATTTATTATAACTTATTTTAGGTTAATTATATATCCAGAGCATTTGGCTTTGAAATATGGTACTCAGATAAACGTCTGGGAGTGTCCACAATGTAGGTCATTTGTCCAAAGTTTGGCTCTGGTCTCGGCATCAATCTTTGTGGTCAGTGCTGCTTTTCCAGCAGAATGCTGTCCTACAAACCATCCTGAAATCGGTGGTGGTGGGGACCGAGGCTCATTAGTTGCCCTGAAGGTGATTGTGTACACGGATGTACACGGATGTAATTTAATGAGAAGGATACCTATCAACGGGAGACTTTGACATCCGCCGGGTGAGGCCTGGAGACCCCTTCTTGCTCTTCACAAGGTATTTGTACTTTGGATTTTGCTTAATCCAATTCTTTAAAGCTTCACAGGCATCCTGCTGATGTCCGGTGTTAGTGTAACTCACAGCCAAAGCCATCAAAGCTTTCAAGTTGTTGGGCTGCAATTCTAAGCACCTGAAAGAAGGCAAAATAAAAGCCAATTTCAGATCTTTTTGGAGCCAGAGTCTGAACAGTTCTTTAGAAAATTTGAGGTCTCTGTTAATTAAATGGTGCAAAAACATTGCTAAGTTTATGTTGTCTCTGGAAATACCGTATTTATCTACATGAAAATTGGGACCTCTGCATATTTTTAAGAAAGTTAAAACTCAGCCTGATTAGTGCTAGGTTTGGTAATTTTAATGAAATGGTTTAAAAACAAAAGAAAATGAGGCTAATCCTGCATATAATTTATTAGTAATTAGTTCATCTAATGAGAAGTAGGGAATATCACTATTTTAATGCCGATCTACTATCAACATATTAAATGTATCTTGTCCACAAAGCAAACTGACTTGAACTAAATTTGGATGTTAAGAAATGAAAGATTGTACAGTGTTTCATATAGGAGAGGGAAATTCCCCATGTTTCAACTACTAATGTGGGTTTAGGAGGCACAGGCTACAGCTGCTCCCCCTCTGTGGGCTACCCCACTGGCCGCTGGCAAGGGCTTTTCAAACTTTGATGCGCATGAGAATCATCTGGGGATCTGGTAAAATGCAGATTCTGATCTAATAGGCCTGGGGGTGGGGGCAGCCTGAGGTTGTGCAGGTACGACAAGCTCCCAGGTGATGACGATGCTGGTGATCTGTGGATAAGACTTTGCTTAGCAAGCCCTAGACAGAACCTGTATCAGTTTCTTAGGAAGAGATTACATATATATGGATGTATAATAAATATACATTTATTTATTTATAAGAAAGAGGAGGGAAAGTGAAAGTCTATTTGGTAGGGGCTATTTTCCCAGGGTTTAAATAGGGGCTCTAATCAAGTAAGGTGTGATTCTACACCCACCAAAGTAGTCTAGAACTTTAGTCAGGGGCTCAGGATGCTGAAACTATCTCAGGAGATTCTCTATAGACACATGGAACTAAAATTACATTGAGATTATTTTGAGTATGTTTTTCCTGAAGAAAACTTTCAGATGCCACAAAAGGCTAGAAAGCTAAAAAGAACTATTGATTCAACGAGTCTACTTTATGACTGCGTTTGACATAGACTCTTTTGTGCCAATGAAGGCCAATTTGTAGTTGGTAAAACACTGCAATTTAAGAACACAATGTCTTCATAAATTGTTTTCCAGAGCTAAATGGAAGTAATATGTGGCATCTTGGCACTTATCCTGGTCACATTTTTACAGTGTACTTAAGGGTCAAAGGACAAATCTGAAACCACAGGAAGTCCATTAACAAGTGTCCACCAAGCCCATGATTTTGCACTTAGCTTCATCTACCTCTGGAGGGCGACAATAGCTGCTTGTTCATTTTCATTCTCTGCCTGGGTTATCCCGAGGAACTGCCATGCCTACAAAAAACAACTGATGTCAACATTACAAGAGTAAGCAAAATCACTCATGTGCTTTAGTTGGTTCGTTTACATGTGACAGATCCCTCTGTGCAGAGCAGCCTGTCTGGGTTGTGAGAGTCTTGTAAAAGGGAAAAACATCACACGCATTTCTTCATTCAAACTCTCTTGTGACATCTGGGTCAAGATTCTCTGTCATTATTTACAAACTGTAAGTATTTATTCTCTCCTGTGGCTCATGGAAACCTCTGAGTTTCTGAGGTTTCATGATATTAGGTATCTTAAAAGCAAAAGATAAATATATAAAACGATGCCTCTATCAGGAAAAGAGGTAGAAAAATAACTCAGAAATGTAGCTAAATAGTCTAAAGTTTACAATAAGGAACCTCAAGATGTACAAAATAGAATTAGTTTGTATAAATGAAAGTCAAGCAGTTATTATAAGAGGTAACAGGAAATTTAGGAACTAGGGGAAACAAAACGAACCCCGCTACAATGTGTTCACCACTTAATATAATCATTGTTAAAAAGCATAAAACACATATAAAATGCAATATAATGTATATATAATTTTATAGCCTACATTTACACTTTATATTACATTATCAGCACTTTCATGTTTTTATAAAATCTCCCTTATATTTTTTAATTTAAATTTTGTTAAACGGATATCCCATTATTCCCTCAACCAATTCCCTTGTTGCTCTATGTTGTTTCTAATCCTTTGCAATGGTCAATAATGTGAAGAATATCTTCAAACAGATAACGTTTTCTGCATCTGCAATGAAAAATTTTCATATAAAATATTTCTACCTATATACTTATAAGAACAGTAATTCTCACACATTACAAGAGCAATATGCATCAACAAAAGCTCTCATTACACACATTGTCCTCAGATTTGCTGGGGGTGTATCAAAGTCTTAGGGATTTTAAAAGATTTGCATAACTCTCTTGAGAAGCAATGCTATGAACATTTTAAAACAGAACTCTATGAAAATATAGGGAGTCATCTTAAAGTCCTGTAAAAATTGTATCGGCTTTTTCCCTCATGGGTTATTATTACACATACCATACAAACTCATAAAAAATACTGAGTATTTCTCCCCCCAGAATATCAGTGATTCTTTTAAATCTTTCAAACATCTACAGAGCAGCTTCTAATTTGATTTCACCTTTCATACATCTTAGAATGCTTCTTAAGAAAAGACTGATGAAACAGTCCTTCTCTGGGGTGTGGTGTCATTTTTACCATTCACAGATCGTCCATTATCTTAGCGTTGGGCTCTCCATCGATTGAGAAGCCCTGGGTCCTGGTCTAGGAGCCATCAGTTACCAAGTGTCCTCATTTTCTCAGTTATGAACCTGGGATAATAATGTATACCTTTTTATTAAACTTCCCAGGGTTGTTGCGTCAAATGATATAATATATATGAAAACACATAGCACTTAGAAATGTAAGATGACACTATTTTGTTGGGAGGGTTGTAGTTTCTTCTTAACGCAATGACTTTGTCTTCTACATTGATATTTAGATCTTTTAAAAATTCCAATATTTTGGTTCAGAATTCCAACTCTCAATTCAACTGCATTTCACTGTCAACATTTTGACTAACAAGATACTAGGCGCTTTAAGTAGTATCAATAATTAGTTTACTTGTTCTTTCTATACAAACTAAGTACAACCAATAATAATGATAAAGGCTAAATATTGATGTGCCAGGCACTAAACTATGAATTTATCCTCACGACACCCAATGAGATAGTTATAATTGTGATTTCCATTTTACATGTGAGGAAACTGAACCTTAGAGGGTTTAAATGGCTTGTCCCAGATCACGTGGCTCATGGCTAACAAGTGGTAGAGCAGGGATTTGAACCCACATGGTTAGGATAGCAGAGCCCAGAGGCTTAACCACTGTTCTGTACTGCCTTCTCAGCACATTTCTGCAAATTCCTCTGGGAATATCCCCCTATAAGATGTTTCCTGAAAATTACAAACTAAAAAAGAAGATTTGATACCTGCCAGTGTCTTATTACAGGCCTTTGCAGTTTGGGAAAATTAGTGGACCAAGATAAAAACTGCAGAAGCCTCTTTGGTGTCTCCCAGTCTCCATCTCCACTCACCCTTCATGTCTCAGAGAAAGGGGCTTTTCCAACATGTGAATCTGATCGTGTCCCATAGTGGTTCCCCATGGCTTTCAGGATGAAGTTCAACTCTTGGCTACCTCTTCTTGCCCCCTCTCCTGCCACTGTCTCCTCCCCTTCTCACCATGGATCCAATGTTTCCTGTCCCTCTGCCCACCCTTTTTTGTGGTACGTGGGCCTCTTACCGCTGTGGCCTCTCCCATCACGGAGCACAGGCTCCGGACGCACAGGCTCAGCGGCCATGGCTCACGGGCCCAGCCGCTCCGCAGCATGTGGGATCCTCCCGGACCGGGGCACGAACCCGTGTACCCTGCATCGGCAGGCGGACTCTCAACCACTGCGCCACCAGGGAAGCCCTCCCCTGCAGTTTTTAATCCTCTCTCCCTCAAAATTCAGCTTTGGATTCACTTGGAGGGGAAGGCTGGGTCAGAACCCTTGCCCTCGGCTCTCCTGTGCGTACTCTGACACTGCATTTATTATACTACATTGATTTATTTACTTGTCTTCCAGATAGATCACAAATTTGTCCTTTCAACTGGTCCATTTTTTTCTACCTTTTCAATAGTTTAGGACTTCCCTGGTGGCGCAGTGGTTAAGAATCTGCCTGCCAATGCAGGGGACACGGGTTCGAACCCTGCTCCAGGAAGATCCCACATGCTGCAGAGCAACTAAGTCCGCGAGCCACAACTGCTGAAGCCCAGGTGCCTAGAGCCCATGCTCTGCAATAAGAGAAGCCACCACAATGAGAAGCCCGTGCACCGCAACGAAGACCTAATGCAGCCAAAAATAAAAATAAATAAATATATAAAAAAACAAAATTTAAGCCAATGCCTGGCACAGTTCTCGGGACATAATATGTGCTCAATAAATGATGAGTTAGTAAACCAAGGGTGAGATGTGGTGTGGCTCTAGACCCAGACAAAATCATACTCTGCCCCATGAAAACTACTGCTGAGCCTCTAGGTTGGCAGTTTTGGTTTTTTGTTTCTTGTCTCCACCTTTTATTTTTGGGCACTGTAGACACTGCAGATTTGGTTAGAAAACAGGTACCTATTTGTAACTTTCAAACACATATCAGGCTTAGCCACGTTAACTCCTTTAGGAAACTTTACTTGATGAAAATGCCACCTGGCAGAACTCTCTGTCACCCTCTGTCCGCCCCTTTCCAAGCCCGGCAGGATGAAGGGAAATGACACCTCTGCATCTCCAGGGTCCTGAAGAATTGCTGCCTCCATGAACAGGATGGTAACTGGCAGGTCTCCTTCCTTCAGCCTTTTTAAACCTTCTTCAAATGCTCCAGGCCAGTCCTTGAAGGGGTTTTCAGTGTGAAAGTAATATCCCTACAACACAGAGGGGCCAACACAGATCCACTGATTTCACTCTTCATTGTTATATTCAGTCAGTTCTTTTAAAATTTGAATTCAATTAATTTTATTTAAATTATTTGATTAATTTCAATTAAGTATAAATTGCTGTTTTTCCCCTTATTTTGACTGTGGTACATTTTCATTGTGTAAATGTTAGATAAAATCTTATTTTGTTATCGAATGATATGAAAAGAAACAAAAAGTTACCTATAATGTCATGACTTAAATATGATCACTGCTAATATTCTGGAGTTTGTCTTCCTTCTGGCATTTCTTTTGTTCTTTTTGCTTTAGCCATTTCCCCACAGATTTTTAAAATACTGACTTTTGGGCCATATTTTTGCTAAGTGCTGCCACTCACTTCCTTGAAATGTTAATACCACATACTGCACATCTGTTTATATACAGTGGCCCTTTGGAGGGCTACAAACCATTGTAATATCTAAGATTTTTTTCACCTTCTACTACTCAAACCAGTTTTTGTCCCACTGCGGGGGGGCTGTATCTCTCCACTGAGAATGTATGCTTTAAAGTTACGATCTTTTATTGCAAAAATTTAAACAATAGAGAATGTACAAATAATCTTCTAGTATTTTTCTGAGTATATAAGTTAAATAAGTTCATACTATATATGCAGGTTTGTAGCTTAAGCCCCATTTAATTTTAGTTATTAAAGTTATTTATATTATGCTAAAAATTAATCTTCTTTTGATGGACATTCAGGTTACTGCCATTTTTTGTTGTTGTTGTTATCATAAATAAAGCTACAGTGAAAGCCTCATGCTCAAATCTTTGTCTGCATGTGATTATTACCTTAGGATAGACTTCTAGAAGGATTTATTATGCTAAAGGCTATGAACTATTTTGAGACCCTTGATATATGTAGCTGAATTGTTTTTGAGAAAGTATGTCCTGACAGACTCTCATCAGAAGTATCAGAGATATTATTTGTTGCAACCTTAGTAGCAGAGATTGTCATAAAATCCTTCCAATTTGATAGATACAAATAAGCTAGTCTGTTGATGATGCTACTAAGGTTTTTAAATACATCAAATGGGGACCTTCACTCTCCATAGGTGCTTAGAAAGACAAAACTCTTTGTCAAAATCCATAGGGTATGACCAGCTTATGTAGTGGTGTTAGGGACATGGGGCCCTGGGAGTGGGGAGCTCTGATGCATGGATTACAGCCCAGAGACTGATGTTCTGCATCAATGTTCTCTCTTCTCACTCTCGATTTCTTTGTGCAAAATTAACCTAATTAGTTTTAATGAGATGGTTGATCTGATTTTATGAGATTTTTGCCTTACCTACTGTGGGACAGAGAATACTGGAAGGAGAAAGACATTTCAATGACTACAGAGATTGCTAATCCCATAAAATCAGAGACTATTCATCATAGTCCCCAGTATCTAGAGCAAACAGTAAAATTTGTTGGGTTGAACTAAATAACATGGAAGGTATCCAGAACTGAGTATGACTGAGAATTCCTCTACCACCAAAAAACATAACATAAACATTTATATATTTATGTTTCCCCTGTGAAAGAAAATTCAATCTTTCCATCTCTTTCTTTCAAGTCATTTAAACTTATTTCTCAAGTGTTTTCTTTTTCCCAAGTGCTTTTAAAAGCATAAATCCTAGAGCAACTGGGACTTCGTGGGTAATTTGACTGGCTGTTGACTGTACTCACATATTTGCTGGGGCTCTTCTCAGGGGAATATCTCTGAGGAATCCCCTTGGGACCTGACCTGGTTGTGTGAAGTGTATCTTTTCCACTGAGTTCTTTGCTAGCTGCATAAAGACCACCTGTGAAATGCAGCCCTAAGCCCCCCTTTTTACCCCCCTGCCCACGGATATCACTTCTGTCAGCTTACTGACGTGGCTCAGGCATTGTGGGATTAGCCCAGTTCTTGTTCTAACCCGCCCTCAATGTTAGTTCAGTAACTGGCCAAGCTCTGGTTGGCTGCCAAACAGTCTTAACATTGATAAAAAATAAGGGCATTCCATTCCAGCTTTGCTGCCTTCACGCGTTGGAAGATTACACTGTTTTCATGTGCCAGAATTTCTTATAGGTCAGATTGACATGAAACTGTCTGTTTAATTCTTGGATTTTTTTCACAAAATAGTTATCAACTAATTTATAAAAATATGATCCACAGAGGTTGAGAAAACTGGTCAGTACATGTAAGAAGAGAAATGATCACCTTCTCGCTAGCTGAGATTGTAACCTGGTTCTGGGCTTCTTGGTTCTCCGATATCCAGTTCCTCCGGGCCATTTCTTCCCATTCGGCTTGCATCTTATCCCAAAACTCTGTATCTGACTAGGAGACAGGAAAAATGAAGAGAGATAGATTTAAGAACATGCTATATAATTTATTTCCAGAGAGACAGTTTCCCTCATAGATAAAAATGAATTCTGAGGAGGAATAAAGTGTTCAAACTGGCCACATCCAATGATACTCATGGTTGAAGGGCTTCTGGAGGGCACTCAGTGCTCAAAGTGTCAAACTAGATTAGTTCTGACTTTCTCCAGGAGGAAAATAGTTACCATCTGAGGAACCAGGATCACATAAACCAAATTCAGCTATAAATCCATTCCTTGAACAGTTTCAAGTGTGGGTACCAGGCACACATTTTAGGAAGGGCAGTCTCTCCTAGAGTTGCTCCTAGGCTATGAGGAACTAGAGCAACTGCTTTGGGACTGGCTGGGCAGTGACTTGGGGAGGCAGCTGGCCATGGACAAGGGAAAGCAACACTGGTTGATCCTACTTTGTGCCAAGCACTGTGCTAGGAGAAAACTGAGTCTAGAGGGTTATGGTCATAAAGCTGGGATTGCACAGGATCTGAACCACAGTCTGAATTCTAAGCTCATGCTCATCACCTTATGGCAAACGTGGCTTCCTGGTGCTAAAGAATGAAGGAGAACAGCTTTGGGTGTGAACTCGACTGAGACCTCTTCAAGGTATGTATGTATGTACGTATGTATTTATTTTTGGCTGTGTTGGGTCTTGGTTGCTGCGAGCTGACTTTCTCTAGTTGCAGCAAGCGTGGGCTACTCTTCATTGTGGTGCGTGGGCTTCTCATTGCAGTGGCTTCTCTTGTTGTGGAACATGGGCTCTAGGCACATGGGCTTCAGTAGTTGTGGCACGTGGGCTCAGTAGTTGTGGCACGTGGGCTCAGTAGTCGTGGCTCACGGGCTTAGTTGCTCCGCAGCACGTGGGATCTTCCCGGACCAGGGCTGGAACCCATGTCCCCTGCTTTGGCAGGCGGATTCCCAACCACTGCGCCACCAGTGAAGCCCTTCAAGGTCTTTTCTATGGCAGGATGATTTTTTGAAAAATACTGCTTTGTGTTTTCCTCTTTATAACTTTCAAGTCTTCCAAAACGGAAACCAGGCCATTAGCTCTCCTTTACTTCAGGGGAAGTATGTGTTCCTGGACTAAGGCAGAATTTTTCTTCAAGATCTGTCCCTGGTTGGCTTCTACTTTACTAAGCCTGAAGAGAGTACTTGAGGTGTCCTGGGGGCAGGAGAGGAAAAAGAGGCAAGTATCATAAAGAACTTAAGAGAGGAGGGGGAATTTGCAGGGGCAGGAAAAGAGAAGGAGGGTGGTGGGTTCTGAGAGGAGTGGGAGATGATGCTTAGGTTTTAGGTATTTCCCTGGCAAATTGGCCCGACCTCCGAGAGGATGACAGAGGGTGTGCTAGGAACTCTGATCCTCATATGGCAGAGAAATAGAGAGAAACTGGATTTTGAGCAACCACTTGGGGCTTGGTTGGCTGTTAGCAGTCAGCATGACAGACAAGAGGATGGAGGCTCTGTCCTTGTTTTCTGGCACCACATTAGCCTTCCACATTTGGTGCCTAAGACTGTTACCTGCCAGTTTGGTAAAAGAGATGCTTGGAAACCACTTTATTTTCCTTAAAGCAAACAAAGAAATGGGTATTCCTTGAACACCTGAGTCTGGGACTGAGATCCAATTTCTCTGCAAATCTCAATTTCTGTGATTCTAAATTCTGTGACTTGTTGACATCCAATCAAAGCTTGTTCTTTATCTTTTAATCCTCCCAGTCTCACCCTCTAACTCCACCCTCATGCCTGGGTGGTGGTTGTTCTGTGGTGGCACCTCTTCTTCAAAGTTGCTCTGAATGATAATTATAAGCTTATTTCTTCTGAATACACACATGCAGGGAAAAAGGGCCAGCCCAATGTGATTAATCCCAGGCTACTAAGTAATAAATAGTACTTTTTGTTCTCCTTCTTTATTATGTCCAGAATACTCATTCCTACCCACATACGGGTCCTGTCCCTTCAGTAGAGGCCTTCCCTCAACAAAGGCTCAGGACAGCAGGCATCTTGATAATCTGTGTCTGATACGCTAGAAGCCCATGGAATGGATACCACTTACCAGGTTAAGGTTAGGAATAAAATTCAAAATTCTTTTTCAAAGAGTCTAGTGGAACACCAAATTGTGCCAACAGAATGATCTCAGATATACAACAGCTAGAAAAAACACTAGAAGGAGATATCCTACCATGTTAGGAGTAATCTGTCTTTGAATGAAGGGATGAGGGGTGATGTTTTTCTTTTTTTGCTCTTCTGTACTTCCTGAATTTTCTATAAGTATTTTTTTTTTTAATTTAAGAAAGGTTAAAAAATAATAAAAAGAAAAATTATCTTTCCTTTTTAAAAACCTGCACATTTAGATACTGAGGAGATGCTTTCTTGAATAGCTTTTTTAAAATGCAGGTTGAGCTTGTCTTCATAGAAACAAAGAGAAATCTATCAAGTGAATTTTATAATGTTTACTGACTTTCTGAAGCCCCGTGATGGGTGATGTGAAATGCCAAAGACTTCAAGTACTTTCTAAGGTAGTTAAGTTCCCTTAGTGAGATTTCTTGTAATCTACAGCAATTACAAGTCTTTTGAATGAAAGAATGAGGAAGATTTTGTAATGTGTACATCTCTAGTCACCTTTCCTGCAGTTTCAAATTAGAGCAGTAGATGAATAAATAAGACTGCTGTGGAAAGAGAACCTCAGTTGAGGTGGAGCTGTCAGGCCCTAATTTCAAGAGATACACCAGGACTGACTGTTACCACTTAGAATAAGTTCCGCTGACTAATTAAAGTGCACCACACAGTTTCATTTAATTACAGAAGACTACTTTTAGCACAATCAATTTTCATCTGGTCTCAGAATCCAGACTTCATTCACGTAAGTGCAATTAACACCGCTTCTTTTCTATTCCTAATCAATTTCAGAGAAACCTGAAACATATTTGAATTTTAAACATTTTAGACACGAGGGAAGAGATTTTACATATTGATGATTTTCTTAGCTTTCTGGGATGCTGGTGGATTGTTTTTTACACTCTCTAGGTAATAAATTATCTGCTTACACCAGAAACGAGCTATTGTTTGCAATCCATTTTCATTTTTAAAATAGCTTTCTGATTATAACAATGGTAGATATTCATTAAAAACTTGGGCTGTGCAGTATGGTGGTTAAGAACAGACACTTTCTCCTCATATGACCCTGGGAACACATTCTGGCTCCATCATTGGCCTTCTGCAAGTCCCTTAATATCTCCAGGTCTCATTCTCCTTATCCTTGAAATGAATGATAGACTAGTGGTCTTGGTTAGTCATTATTAGGACTAAAAGAGAAAGTGTGTCTGTGGCATAAAGCACATGGTTAATGCTCAGTAAAAGTAGGTGTGCTTACTAGTGCTTTTGTACCATTGAGAAAAATATAAAGAATGAAACAAAAATCACCCATAACCTCAAAGCTCAAATACACATCTGTGAGTATTTTGGTGTTTTAATTTTCTGTATATATCAGTACATACCCTCTTCTAGATACCTTTCCCCTCTTCAGTTAGTTTTCCTTTCTGCCTAATTATTCAAAAATAAGAACAAGGTTAAGAAGATTATTGCAAAAATGGACTGTTATGTGGCAATTAAAATGCTATTTATGAAGAGCTTATTACAACATGGAATAGGCCTTGATTTATAATGTTCCTTGATATGTAGTATGATCACAATGATAGAAAACAAGTAATGTGTGAGGAAAAATAGACTATAGAGAAATGCACCCACGGTACTGAGTTCATGAGTTGGGATTATGAGGAATTTGCCCCATCACCTTCCCTTGTACTTTTCAGCATTTCCCAAATCTTCTATTGCTAGCATGTATTATTTTAGTGAAAAAGATTTGCTTAAAATAAGCTTACATCTTTTCAGTTTCAATTCCTCCATGACATTTCCTCCAAAGACCCTACACTACAGCAATCTCTTACCTCTCTGAATTCCAATACCGATATTCTCGATCAGTGGTTTGGAAGAAAAGAGGCATGTGCTAGCAGCTGCCATTATCCCTGTGAACTTGAACAAGTCATTTAAACCCATCTGTACATTATTTTTTATCATTTGTAAAGTGAGAAGACTGAGCCCATTTGATAATAGCTCAGGCTTCTTTGTGCAGATTAACTCAGAAAATCAGAATAAGGGGGAAGGGGATCACTTTTTTTTTGGAAGGGGGCTTCTAGCCTGTTCACTGATCTCCAAAAATTATATACTTTAAAACATTTCTCTAAAAGTGTGTTTGACATTTTCCTTTCACTTTTTGATTGTAAAACTAGTATATAAAAATTTCTATAAGAACCATGACAAAATTAAATATTAATTAAAATATAAAGAATAAGAAAATAAGCAATTTAATTTAGAACCAGGGAATTTTAAGGGATAGCAGCATATTATCAGCTCCCATTCACCAGTCTATTTTGGTTATCTTGAGTTTAAATAGAGTTCCTTTCAATTTTGTGGGTCAAACATAAGTTGCTTAGAAACATCCTGGGGTTGTGTTGTGAAGGAACTGATCTATGTGAGATTAAGTGTCAATTCTGCTTGTGAGGAGTCTGACTTTCCTTTTGCCGCTTTAGATATCCATTGATTAACTGTCACTGGATCAAAACTTAAAAAAAAAAAAGAAAAAACCCACCAACCAACCAATCAACCCATTCTGAATATGCAAAAGAAAGTATCCCTTGCAAAGTGAGGAATGAAAATCACTATGCAAGTTTGGATAAAGTACTTGCCACAATAAACAATTTTCGTTGAAGTGAAATTATGTGCAGATGAGTTAGGGACCTTATTTCCCTGGATCTAGTAGCCCAGGCTGGTGAAGAGTGGCTGAAATGTCCCCACTCACATCACTTGTTGACTGACAGCTCAGTGTTAGTTGAGGATTCCATGTGGCTGCCCAAAGAACGTATTCCGCCTGAGGCTGCAATCAAAGATGTGCAGCACCCTGATCAAGGATGG